GTCACCAAACAGCGCCTCCGCTGGCGCCGAGTTCTTGGTCGGCCGTCTGCGGGTGGCGCCGCCGCCCCCCCCTCCACGAAGGAAAGCCATGTGAGTCACCCCGGCCCGCCCCGCCCTTCCTCATCTCACACCATTATTATTATTGTTATTATTGTTATTGTAATAAGTTGATCGGACGATTTTTTCCTATCTGGGTCACCCTTAAGGACGCCACGGGCGCGTCACGCTTCCCGGAATAGCCGGTCCTTTCACAGACTGACTCAACACGTGTTTGTAACCGTCGTGGGGAGGGAACGCCACCCAGGTTGAGAATCCCGTGCAGTTTCACACCCGGGGTCGGAACCCTCCGTGTCCCCGGTTTCTGCGCGCTGCTTGTGGCGGGCTGCGTAACGTGTTTCCGTTGGCTTCGTCAGAGGTGGTCCTCTGTGGGGACTCCGGATTGCGTTCACACGGTGTCCTCGGCCCAGGTGCTGCGTCGGAGTTCTGGCTTGCTGTGGCCGGAAATGCCACCGTTGTGGTCTGTCGGCCAGCTTTGGTGGGATGCCCGGAGGGGTCAAACAATAGCCACTTCCGACGGGGGGCCCGACCTGGGTGGGAAAGCGGCCGGTTGCAGCAAGACAGGCGCGAAATTTGGGGGCAACCTAGCCAACTTTCATCAGGCTTGTTTCCCTCTTTGGATTAATGTGTGGTCCCCCCCCCCAAAAGCAAAGCTGATAATGAGTGGAAGCTGAACTGGTCCCCTCCTCAGCCTTAAGCTTTGCCTCACCGCAAAGCTCTAGGAGCAAAATAAAATCATACTGCCTAAACTCTGCCGTTGTGCTGAGGTACAGTGGTGGGCTGCTTTGCCTCCCATCCCAGTTTGCTTCCCTTAGAACCTCCTGAAGCAATAAATGATGGCTGAAAATTCTAGGCCCTCCTTATTCAGGTTATATGCCAAATTCTCTGCTTCGGGGAGTGAGCTGTGATCCTTGACAGATGGGGAACTGCCCATCCCTGTTCTGAGACCTAGCAGAAAATCACCAAGGTTGGTCTATCTAGGTCCAGAAGATAAATCCGTGGCACTAAAGTGCTCCGTTAGAAACCTGGGTTTTGTTCTGTTGCCTCTTGCCAAAAGTAAAAAAGAGTGTTTTATTTTTAAAAGTCATACCTTTCCTTTCCAACATCTCTTTTCTAGGGCCGATTACTGGAAATCTCAGCCCAAGAAATTCTGTGATTATTGCAAGTGCTGGATAGCAGACAACAAACCGGTATGATGGGCTTTTTACTATATTCTTAAGTGGATCTACGTTCTGGAATTTGGATTGTAAAGTTTTAGATTTAAGTTTCATCAGGAGGTCAATCCAGCCTTAGAAAGCCTTTGATGTGCTGCTAGTTTCCTAGCCTTTTCCTGTGGCTGGCAGAGCAGAATAAATGTAGGCAATGTAAGCTAATCCCTGTACATTTAATGCTTAATACCTTCAGGTTTAGTTGGATCTGGATTCTTGGGGCTGAATGTGGAACTCTTGTTGTTGCTTCAGATTTCACCTCTAGTTAAGAGCTGAAATACATCTCATACAAGGTTATACTGGCTTAGGACACCTCTCTAAATCACCTAAAATGCCTGCATGAATCAAACGTCATTGATTTGATTGCCTTTGAAACAATTCTTGGGCAGGTTCTTTGAGAGAATAGACATTCTTCAGACAACCATTTGGCAAGATTGAAATATCTCCTGCCCTTCTCCTTAATTGTAGGCCTCTGGTAGATGTGCTTAGCTTTAGTATTTATGCCCAGTTGTAAATGGGTTCCATCCAATTTATTTTTCTGTAGTTTAGGAATGACTCTTCTCTTTTTACAGAGCATTGATTTCCATGAAAGAGGAAAGAACCATAAGGAAAATGTGGCGAAGAAAATTAGTGAGGTAATTCCAAGTGACTTCCTTAAACCTAAATGGATTACTTTAAAATCCTGTATCATGGATCCTGCTCACTCCTCTTTTAATTGTAGATTAAAAAGAAAAGCTTAGAAAAGGCAAAAGAAGAAGAAAACATGGCAAAGGAGTTTGCAGCTATGGAAGAAGCCGCCACAAAGGCTTACCAAGAAGATTTGAAAAGGCTCGGACATAAGGCAGGTAGGATCCAAGATTATCAAAGAGAAGAGCCATAATGTGAAACTTTGGCTCTTCCTAACAGCTTCACTTGACACAGCTATACAAAATCCATAAAAATAATCGCATTCCACCACCAGTTTGATACCATTCACTGATAGTATCTCTGCTAACTGTGAAGAGTGACTAAGCCTAAAGAAAAGATCCACAGGTCCAGCAGAACTTGCTTTGTTAAATTTCATTTACACTGGGGCAAAAAAGTATTTAGTCAGCCACCAATTGTGCAAGTTCTCCCACTTAAAAAGATGACAGAGGCCTGTAATTTTCATCGTAGGTATCCCTCAGCTATGAGAGACAAAATGGGGGAAAAAATCCAGAAAATCACAT